AGTTGACTTGTATTCTATACCTGGTGAGATAGACAACTCAATAGTTGACTTGTATTCTATACCTGGTGAGATAGACAACTCAATAGTTGACTTGTATTCTATACCTGGTGAGATAGACAACTCAATAGTTGACTTGTATTCTATACCTGGTGAGATAGACAACTCAATAGTTGACTTGTATTCTATACCTGATGAGATAGACAACTCAATAGTTGACTTGTATTCTATACCTGGTGAGATAGACAACTCAATAGTTGACTTGTATTCTATACCTGGTGAGATAGACAACTCAATAGTTGACTTGTATTCTATACCTGGTGAGATAGACAACTCAATAGTTGACTTGTATTCTATACCTGATGAGATAGACAACTCAATAGTTGACTTGTATTCTATACCTGGTGAGATAGACAACTCAATAGTTGACTTGTATTTTATACCTGATGAGATAGACAACTCAATAGTTGACTTGTATTCTATACCTGATGAGATAGACAACTCAATAGTTGACTTGTATTCTATACCTGGTGAGATAGACAACTCAATAGTTGACTTGTATTCTATACCTGATGAGATAGACAACTCAATAGTTGACTTGTATTCTATACCTGGTGAGATAGACAACTCAATAGTTGACTTGTATTCTATACCTGGTGAGATAGACAACTCAATAGTTGACTTGTATTTTATACCTGATGAGATAGACAACTCAATAGTTGACTTGTATTTTATACCTGGTGAGATAGACAACTCAATAGTTGACTTGTATTCTATACCTGGTGAGATGGACTTCTTTATAGTACGCTCAGGATATTGTGTATGATTTGTTATACATTGTTAATCTCTTCACAGACTTCAGACTATACAAAATAGAGCCTTGACATGCCTTCAGAATATGATATCAGTTATGGACACACAAGCATTAGGTGGTGGAGAAGCATTGTCCAAATTATGGACTATGTTATTACCATTAGCATTTGATAAAACAGGTGAGGAGATTACTGAACTGGCTGTATAGAGCAATAGCTTGGGGTTTCCTTGTCTCATAATCAGCATCGTTCTTTAATTTATTTACTCTTGGTTTTACTAATACATCCCTCACATGAGTTGATACCAGTGCTTAAAAATTGTTGTTGCCGCAAAAACTAGCCAATACCTGCCCCCAATTTAACCATTGTTGTATATTG